TCTTCAGCCTTATCAGTTACTCCAACTGGATTTTAACCGATCACCCTCTGTCCTTATGCGTCATTTCACTATCAACAGCACAACCCTTTAATTCAGAGGAAGATGAGTACTCAGAGGACATCAATGTGTTAAATTCTCTTTAGTGTATTTCATTAATGAGCTAGTTGACCTATCTACCACATAATACTTGGTCAGGGAAACAATCCCAAATGTGGCCCCATCGCTTCAAAGCACACATTAAGTCATCTAAGTAAATACAGATATGGCAAGATAAACATTTAGCAGGAAATGTACATTACTGCCAGAGTACATGGTCCTAGTGAAGTGCATTCTCAACTGTGCATGCCTCATTTTCTGCATACTCAATGGTCTTTTATATGTTGTATAGACTTGCAAAAACATCCATGTACTTAGCATATCTCAACACACATGTATCTTTTATAAGACTTGGTAAAACAGAAATAGAAAATTAATTACTGATCTGTACTAGGCCTCGTATTTGCTCCTGTAAGCCTCATTCCTAATTCCTAACGATGAAATCATGTACTTTTGATAGCAAAACAAGAGTTCACATGACAACACTATGATGTAAGCAGCAAGGTCTGCACATGCAGACCATTTGTGAATTACCAGCAGAGGAAGCAAACATTTCAGAAGCTTTCACAAGAACCATGTAGATCCTAGGGCTGCAGGGTTTATGTCCCCTGAGCATTCATGAAGTAAACCATGGTTGGGATGCAGGTCAAGCTCTGATAAATCAACACCATATTTTTGCTGAATGTAGACAAAGATCATGACAGGCTATTTTCTTCCCATGTTATATCCATGTTACTCCTTTACAATGTTTTGTGGCTTATTTTCCTCCACATCTCACATGTTCAGTGTTGCATACTTAACTGTATGCACAGTCTCTCTCACGTCCCACAATTTGAACGAAAAGCTGCAGTGATCACTCTAGTGAATTTTTTACAGAAAATAAGCTTTTGCCAGGTCTGTGGAACCACACTGTTCCTTGACAGACACAAATTACTTGACAGTCCTGGAGTGAGAGCTGGAAATGTCATGTGCTCCTCAGCCTTTGGAACAAAGCTGTCATAACTGGACCTCAGAAACTACTTACCAGTGTGATCTGCTCTAATTTGAAAGCCATGCCTCCTTTGGCAGTAAGATACAAAGCCCATTCAGCTATATATTGAAGTTATCTTAAGGCACTAAAGACTTCTTAACAAGAAGACCATCAAGAGTCTCTGACCTATTTTCTTCAAAAATCACCAACTAAGCAGGATTTTACAAAGCCATTCCTGCTCTGGTGCTAGCTATGCTTCAGTTACACTGTACCAGGGGATCTCATGTCAGTATAACTGTCTTTCCAAATGTTTACAACAGGGTTTCAGTTTTATCAGTTAGCCATGTCTTGACTGAGCAGAAACAAGTTACCCATTTATTTGCTTTACATTATCTGCCACACTTGGTAAAAGATTTTAAACAAAAAACCTCAGCATTTTTCCTCTTTTTTCTGTGTTCACTCAGCTTTTGAGGCTACATGTGCTGGTCTGTTTTCAGTTATTTAAAAAAACCCATCATACATGGTACAGCATCAGACCAGTTATGGTTTATATACGTGAACATGTGTGACTACATTCATTTTGTTTAAGTAAACAGTCAGCAGCATTGTAGTCCATGACCTTTTGGAGGAAAAAAAAAAGTCACCATTTGAAGAAATTAGTTAGTAGATGGCTTTATGCATTTGTGGCTACAATTCATTACATTACAAATGAAAAATAAAGAAAAGAGCACAGCAGTCTATCAGACCATGCTGAGGCAAACATGCTGGAATTATCACATATACATATACACTCCTAAAATAATCTCAGAGCCTAGCTTCTGGGAGCGGAAGTGGTAAATTCAAATTAAGACTGAATCCCTGGACAAAGTCCGTCTCTGATGTAACTCACTGGAGGCCCCCGAAATGGCATTCCAGGGGCAGGTGCAGACAGTGCCAAGCAATGGCACCCCTGCCTATGGCTGAGAGAATGCCAGCATTGAAATGTAGACAGGCTTTTGAGTATCTGTGTATTGAAAACTATGTGACTATCTTCCAGTCTCTGCAAGATAATAGAGCACCAAATCAGCAGAATAAACAATAGCTGCAGACAGTGCCTTGCAGCCTCAAATTCAAATTTCTTTTCTGCAACAAGATTTAAATAAGAAGGTGAGCTCTTTTCTCCATTGAGTCTTTGACAGATCTTGCTGTCTTGCCTGGAGTTACAATTTCACCCACCAAGATAAAAAAGATATTTATTAAGTGTTAATTCCACAATTTTGTCTCAATGCCCACCAAAAGAAAGGAACATTATGAAGTACTTTATTATTATTTCATAAAAAGGCTTCAGGAAGATCACATCTTCTAGTATAGCACTTGTTCTCCATATACTCCACAGCCGTGTCAAACACTTGAAATAGAGAGGTTATCTGGGCATGCATTCAGTAACACCTTTGTATCTAGGACATCTTTGTAACACCTTTTATCCAGGAGAGAATTAAGATGTCAAAAAGCACCTGAATGACAGGTTAAGCCTGAGGACGGTTTAACTAGCATAGAAATGCTAAACAGTTATCTGAATCCAGGATGCTGGCCAAAGTATTCACTACTGTAGAACTTTCCAGATCACCAAAATTTACTTTTTTGATCAGACAATATGTGTAAGAAAACCAAGCTGCTGCTGCTGCCAAATAAGAATGGGCAAGGAATGGCAGATTTTATACAGCTGAAACACTGTAGAGACACTGTCATCATGATTACCAGTAATGGCAGCCCCACGCAGACCTCTAGTTTCTATTGCACTAGGTACTGTGCTTTCAAAGGCTCAATAGGCAAGGAAAAAAAAGCATAAGAAAAGATAAAAGAAAGAGACCTAAAGTGATTTGCCTGCAGTTAGGCATCAAATGACAGATATGGGGATAGGACCTATGTCTCTGGCCTCCCAGAACAGTGTCCTCTACAGTCCACCTTTCTGTTCTCTTGAAGTAGGCTGCTGAACTCCCCCCCCCCAATATATTTATAAAATGGAATGAAAACAGAGAGTCAACAAGTAAAATTCTCAGGACTTCTGAAGTGAAGAAGGACAGAGTCCTTGTCAAGGGTCCAACTGCCTACACAAGGAAGTTGCACATAAAGTGAGAACAGATTTTGAAATTTCCTTTGAAACTACAGAGAAGTAAGCTTGTGTCCCATCCTGTGACATCCTATTTCATCTCCCCCCAACTCAGCACAAAGTATATGCCCTGTTGGAGAAGAAGAATATTGAAAATCCACCCTTCAGCTTGTATTGCTTATTTCCCTGCACAGAAAAATTAGGAGATTTAAATTAAGCTGACAGTCACAAAAAAAAAAGCTGTTGGAAATTTTACCAGGATGTGTAAGTAAGCCAGGTAATACCACATCCAAAGGTTTTCATATTTTATTGATGATGAAAGTAACACCCCCACTATGGAAAGTCAAGTGGTTGGAGAGGGTTTTCAGCCAGCTGACACTCTCATCCAAGGAAAACGCTTTGATAGCGAAAACAGCTGCTAACATAGATTTCTGCAGTGTTCATTGGACCAAGAACAGTGTCACAACAGCCATGAGTGAAAGGACTACCTTGGAAGCAAAATGATACAGCTCTTCCTTTCCCCTTCATGCTTTCCTTGAAAATGTGGAGAATGAGCGGATATCCACAGTTCTGGCAATTGCACGCAGACACCCCCTCACTGGACGGCTCCAGGGCACCGAGCTCCTGCGGCTCAGCAGCATGCAGAAGTTGCAAGTCCTTGCTCTTCTCTTCCAGGGGAGTGGAATGGTTTTGCCATTGCCTTACTAGGGCCTAGACTTCTTGTCTAGTTTTTGGAGGAGTGTTAATTTTATCAGCAAGCTCTCCAAAGAAACTAGGTGGGTGATAATGGTTGACGCTAGCCCAGAATGGGTAGACTGGTTATTCTGCCTGTCACTCTAGCCGTTTAGTAACACTTCACTCTGCAAACGAACAAGGTATACAGCAGCAATAAACATACACAGAAACTTCCTCATCATATACAATCTCACCCAGATGACTCAATTGTTGCCACTTAAAGATCTGGTATACAAATTCTCTGCACCTCGCATGAGAAAATTTGAAAGACTAACATACAAAAAAAGGATTAAAATTAAACCTATAAACATTCCAGAAAACAAGCAAATAAATAGAAACCTGACATCTGCTAACAATTGTCACTCACAGTTGCTAATTTTAAATTTGGCAGAAATTCCATTTCCATCACTATTTTTCTGTATTTGTACAGTCTTACTCATCTCTGAAGCCAAATAACTCCCTCATTTCAGTCAGCAGTGCTGCATGATGTGGGGCCTACTGGCTCTGCCACATTTTTAAGTTCTCTATCCAGGTAACAGGCACTCCAGCCTCCATTTTCTGCCTTCTGGGTTGCTGGCAGTTCAAGTCCCCACAGGCTCCTCCTGTTTCACTTACCACCAGCTCACTTCTCACCCAGTGACATGTACAGGTTTATAAACTAGCAGCTCGGCTGCACACCGTCCTTGTGACCACAGTCTTCGCAGCTCCACCTGGCAGGTCAGCCTTTGTTTTACAGGCAGGTCCCACAGATGGTTCTGGGCCTTGGCAGTCTCTGACAGACATTTCCTACAATTCACATTCGAGCTTGCTCCTGTCAGCCTCTAAAATCCCGCCATACCTGCATACTGCAGCTCAGCAGTCCATGAGGGTCAGCAAGAAGGCCAGCAAAAGATATTGTTCTTCATTACCACATGCATCCCTAGCTTCTCAAAGAGATGAAGAGTCAGTTGAGAGGACTGTTGGATTCCATCAAGTGCTTACCACAAGGATAATGCCATTGGTTTTAGGAAATCCCTGATGGGGAAATCCCAGATGGAGAATGGGAGAATATACAGGGAAGAAATGTTTTCCCTGCCTTGTTCACCTTATTCTCCTGCTGTACTCTACTGTGATGGGTCACTGAGGGGTTTTGGTGCAGGGGGAAGAAAAGCAAACCTACAGGCCACAGCCCAGCTCCCCAAAGCTATTTAATAGTAAGTCCTCACAGCAAAGACCTATCAGATACTAAACAGACAAGAACAGACATGACAGTCTTAGCCAAAAGGCCAAGAAGAATAATAGGCTGGATGGACATTTGGTAAGACTCAGTACAGAGACAAAAATTCTTCTGTTTTGCTCCAAGGTCTCTGGACCTTCCTTGTTAGAAAGGCTAGCAGGAGATCAGGTGATGTCTTCCTCTCTATTTGCAGTTTTTTTGACTTTGTTTCCTACCAAAGCTTTGCTGTCTCAAAGCAGTTCTGGGTCTGGAACTGCAGTAAGCAAACTTTATCCAGAGGGCTAAAACCCATCTGAGCTCTTTTGCCAAGCAGCCAGTGCCAGCTGCAGTTGTCTGTCCTGTCTTGGCTGCCTATCCCTGCAGAGTATCATTACAGCAAGACCCACAACCATTGCTACTGCTTCTCACCAGCTCTCAATGAACAAATTACTCTGTAACTTTCATAAATTACTCAAATCCAACTTGTTTTGCTGGATGACTTTCATGATCTGTCAGTTTCTTCACAATCAACACTTCATAAAGTAAACCTCACCCTGCATTTCTAGTTACTTACTTGACCTTTAGAAGGGAGACACTTTTCACATGTGCAAGCTGGCTGATACTTTTTCTAAAAATCACTCACCTCTCAGCCTAGGCAGATATCTGATATCCCCATTCATACAGATTTTCTATGAACAGTGAATAGGGGGTGATGCGTTTGACTCTGCATCTTTTCCTTTTCAATTGTTATTTGGATTGCTTTTGGCAGAATCCCTTAGTAATGGAAATGTGTCAGATATTAAAAGCTAAAATAAAAATCAGTGAAGCCTTCAACTAAACTACAAGCACATTAAATATAGTGCTGTCAACCCTAAAGGTCAGACTCTGGTTTTGTGAATATTTGCTCAATGCAGTAAGAACCACATATGTAAACACTGTTTCCTGTTTTATGCCTTTAACTTCCAGGCACAGAAATCCTTTCTGTCCCGTGCAGCTGACACACACCTTAAAATGCAGCAGAAGAAGTATCATAAATGCAAAATAAATAACAAATCAATCAACTGGCATTTGCCAGAAGGTAATCTTCATGCTGAACAAAAGAATAAATTACACCCTGTAGACAAGACCATGTTAGCAATCGCTAAAATCCAGGACAGGAACACAAATCAACTCTCCAGTTTGCTAGCTAGCAAATGGTACTTTCAAAACTGTCAACAGCCAGAATTTTAAGTAGATAAAGATGCATATAAGTACCCACGGGATTTTTCAAAAACACAAACAAGCTCAATTCCCATGGAAGCCAACAGGGAATAAGCACCAAATAGGATTTTCAAATGCAGTGAGGGATTTACCTGCCATTGCTAAGTGCCTGTATAACTTCCAAACTTAAGTAACCTCCCTTGTGAAAACAGTTTTTTCAGAAGTGACTTTGGGTTAACTGTGAACTACATTTCAGTTACAGCACACTGTGAAAATTGAAGGTAGTCGCCACAAGAATACAGGAACTGACGATAACCGCTTCATAGTGGGATTTGTACAAGTTAGTATGCCAATGTGTCCCCTGAACCAGATCTGTAGCTGATGTAAATTGGATCATGCTTCTAGCATGAAGCCAGCATGCCCTCCACCTCACCCAATCAAGCCTTTTCCCTGGTTTCACTGAGGCTCAGTTCCTCCTGCTCATATGAATGGGAATTCTTTATTAATAGCAGTGAGGTCTGTATTACAACAGCACCTATGAGGACATACAGTGGCAGTTGCTATACAAATGATGAGTAGGAAGAAGACAGCTTTGCCTGGAAGAGTATATGATCCTTACAGAAGAAACAAATGAACAAATCTAGGAAAATGATCAGCTTCTTGAACAGATGTCTTTGAGGCACAGAAAGATCAAGTAAAAGTTGACCAAAATCACATTGGAAGGCTCATCAAATCCAGAACTGGCTATTCCTTGCCAAGAACACTCATATCACAACTGCACAAGCTGAGTAATTACTTTTACTGCTTGACTGTGTTGAAAATGCCCTAATATATTAACCTCAGGTGCAGTCCTAAAAGGTGCTGCTCTGTTTGCTCAGACAGTAGTCTTTTACTAATTAAGATTAGATAGTTTCAGTGCCAGTCTAGAAAATAAAGCAGTTATAGAAATAAGTAAATAAATCACCAACATCATCCCTTTATCATCTTTGAAATATATATATTTTTTAAAAGAATGATCTACCAAATACAGTAATCTAACACAAATATCCTTTCTACAGTCTAACATCACCAATTGCTCCAAATCCTCTTTGGTTATATGCAACAGGGGCCACCTCCTTCACTCAGACATCTCAGATCCTAGTTTTTCACTGAACCACAGGGAAGCTAAGTGTCCTGGACAAGCTGAAATGACCATGTGTTCATCAGAATCCTGGACATTTTCTGCCAACATTTGATTTTTAACATCACAAAATAATTACAACCTATATATATATATATATATATATATATATATATATATGCATGCTGCTATTACAAGACTTTGAGTCAGTAGGACCATGTGCATATTTTTTTGAGAGTATTTTTTTCCAGTGACTTGAAGTTTGAATGAATCCATCATGATACATGGAAGTGTCACTAACATTCACCCCAAAAGAGCAGCTTTTAGAGTGTCCACAAACATTTACGTCACTCCAGCCACGGTTCACTACCTTGAATGCCTGTTCCACCAGACTGTTTGGTCCTGGTAAACACCAGAAAAATTTTCCTTGACTCCTGTAATTATTAAACCAAAGGAACACTTTGCTGACAAGTGTGCAGCTGGTGTATTTCAGAAGCCCAGAAAGCATTCACAGGCCATTTTTGAAAAAGTCTTTTTCATACAATATCACAAACCAGGTTATCATAATGAGGAACAGAACTTTAGACTCTACAGAGCCTTTCAATAAACCAGAAATGTGTTTCTAAGACAGAAGAAGTGAATCCCAAAGAACTTCCCATAAATGGAAGGTAGCTATGGAATGCAGAAGGCGATTTGGAATGAAATTCTCCTTCCTACCATTACCTAACATCTATGCCTTACCTACATGGCACTGCTGCATTTTTCCAAGCAAAAATGTACAATTGAGAGACATTTTTGTGAAGCCAAGTTTAATTTGTCAGTTTTTCCCACAGGCCAAGCTAATTTTGTTCCCATCAACTGCAGCCAGAGATCGGTTCTGCATGGAGTGCAGATCCTCCCAGACGCTTCCCAGCACTCCCCCCCAAATGCCAATGGCATGCAAATGAATTCCACATGCAAACGAGCAGCTCAGTGAATGGTGACAAAGGCGAACTGTTATTCCAGTTCTGTGACTCAAGAAAAACAAGGCAGCCTCACTACATATGTGTTACCTTTTATCTAAAACCTCTGTCAAAGGTTTAGTGGCCAAATTCAGGATAACACACACATCTTAGATTGTGTCCTAGTCCGTGAGTTGATTTAGTGGAAACCTGGGATTTATTCCTCTGTTTGGTGGCAGGTAAAGGTGGCAAAATCCATTTCCTAAAGGCAATCAAACATCGCTGTATGGATAATGATGATTCAGTTTCTTTTCCCTGTGTAAAAACCTGAATAAGCTTTGTATGAGTTTATATTGGGGTATTGGAATGAGGAAGCCTCCTCTTGCCTACTTGCTAAGCAACTGAGTACTCATGGTTCCAGTAATCTCCACAGCCTTCCCCTATAAATCCACGCTCATAGGCCAGGAAAGATCTACCTCATTCCCCCACAACTTCTTTTCCATGTCAGAGACCTGCACCATGGAAGATCAGTCACCATCCATATATAAAGTAATTAATGACAAAGCTTTAAATACTTTGTAACATATCACATTATAGACTGTCACATCATTGTTTACTTGTACCAAAACCTTACTGTACATTAGCAGCAAGAAGAACAATCTCAGATCCCTAACTCACTTAATAGTATTAACTTCCATTGGATAGATGTGAATGAAGAGCTTATATCAAGAGAGGACAGACCCATATTTTTTTTAAAAAAGCTACTATCAACCCCAAACTATGACAATTTCTAAATATGAAACCACTATGCATAAGAGTTTAAAAAACTATGGGCAATTTGTAACTAGATTCTGTTCCAGAAACTTTACAGATCCTCCTTTACAATAAGTACATGTTGTACTTTAACATAGTGGTTTTACAGCTCTCAGCAGTTTAATTATACAGATTCTCAGAACTCATTTTGCTAGCGGCTCATTTCACAAAGTTGTACTACAGTACACTGCAAAAATTCAGATACCTTGTGTAAGCCCATGCAACAAAAAATTTTCTCCTGTCATCAAGTCCTTGCAGGAAACAGCAACTTATCGGATGATCCGTTAAACACATCCTATACCCTAACAATTCCCTACTGGTTTCAATAGGGTGTCAGATGCATCAAACATACCAACAGTTCTCACAAAAGGAAAATAAATAGCACTTAAAACTGAATCATGTTGGCCATAAGAAAAATTTTTCAACTCTAGTGTTATCAGTACCAGCACTTCCTCTAACTATTCAATTAAGTCCCACCAATTAGCCACTATGTTGTACATTTCAAAGAACAATTTGCAAGGGCAAAATTTTGCTTTTCCATCTGATCTACAATAATTACTAAAACTTTAATAATTCTTAGATTAAAACAACCAACATTTGCTAGGTAACAGAGACCACAGAGTTCACAGTGCTGCTGCAGAAACGGGGCACAAACTTAGTATTAAGGTGATCTCAGGCAGTTCCAGTATCCTAAGTCTGAAAAACAACAACTCCTGTATTTTAAGACATTTAGATGAAAAAGTCATGCTAAAGTCTAACAAATCACTGGACTTCAGCCCATCGTTCTCATGAAAACTAATAAAAATCTCACTGCATATACCAATGCTGTACTAAGAACTGGGAACATGCAGATAAAAATGTTGGTTCAAAACACATCAGTCTGATTTAATTTTTGCATTAGTAAGATATCATGGTCCCAGGATGGACCTATGTAATACTATTCCAGCAAAAGTAAATGTTGTGGCTGATGAGATTCAATTTCAAGAAATCCCCAGTCCTCATTGCCAA